AATTAACTATATTTAAACTAATTGTTCTATCATTTTAGAATGTCCTAGAACATCTGAAGCATCTGGAGCATGACCTAAGGCCTTTAGTCAAGGTTTTTGTAATACTAAACAACTGTATTTTTAAATATTTTAACAACTATTAGCTAAAATAAAATACTATAAGAAATCTACTAATAAAATAAATATTAACCGATTAAATAGATGATTAAAACTAATAAAATAATCTATAAACTATGTAAAATATTAAGAAAAATATAAAATATAATATAAAGCTAAAAATAAATATATACTAATATAGAAAAAAAAGTAAATTTTATTACAGTATATTAGATCAATTTGATATTTTTTTTTAGTTTATTTTAACAACCTAGTTGGTGATATTCTTTTATATTAATATCTGTTTATAAAACTAATTTTTACAATAATATTATTAAAGATTTGTATTACTTCTGTGTTTAGATTTTTTTAAATAAACTTTTTGTTTTTAATTTTAATAGATTTATATAATTAAAAGAACTTATTTAGAATTAGTATTATTTGATACTAATTTGTATTTCTTTATATAATTAGTTATACAGATGTTCTATAACTTGCTAGTTATATTAATATAATTATCATTAAAGGTATCTTAATCTAATTATTAGAAACAGTTATTATAATGAGTATTACATAGATGATTATTCAAATTTTTATTGTTAATAGGTTTTAACTTACTATTTGAAAAGTTGATAATAGTTTTATGTTTTTTTATTTATTAATTTAGTTAGTTCTATATAATGTAACTTTATATTTAAATTAACTAATAATTAGATTAGTAATATCTTTTATTTGAAAAAACTTGTTTATATATATTATCTGGTTTAAAATTTTTTTTTTGAATTAATATTTTTACAAATAATATTATTAAAAGTTATAAAAGTTATATTATTTTTTTGTTTAAAACTTTTAAACAAATTTTTATCTAAATATATATTTTTTAGATTTATATATATGATTTTGTACATTTTTAAAATTAATCTTAGTACAATTATAATTATAAGATTACAAATCTTAAATTACAAATAAGTTGTCAAAATAAAATTAATTTTTTTTTAAATTTTGTTACTAATAGGATTTGAATTTTAAATTTATTACTTGAAAAGATAACAATTTTAAATTTATTACTTAAAAAATAACAATTTAACAGCTATACTAAAATTACCATTTTCTAATATTTTAAAAAATTTGTTATATATAAAATTTAATAAATTAATTATATTATTTGTTGTAGTTTTAATGATTATTAAAAAGAATAAATTTTTATTATTTAGATTTGAAACAATATAAAAGTATAAATTTGTTGTTTTATATTAAATAATTATATAAAAATTATAAATTTAATAAAAAATTTATAAGTATATAACATATAGATATTAATTTTATTAATTTTATAATTTCAAATTTATATAACATATTAAGTTGATTTCGTCTGATTTGGATCACGGGATCATGAGATATCCGATTCGTATCATACCCCAAGTCTTAAGTTTTTTTTTTTTTTTTAAAAAAAATAAATCCAATCGAAATATTTTGTGATCCAGTGATCAGAATCGACTCGGCTCAATAAGATTAATCAGAAGATATTAATCAGAAGATATCAAAATCGGACGATTTCAAATGCAGCATGATCAAAAATATTCTAGCTTCGCCATAATACCTTATTTCTCTGATACATACCGATACAGTATACGTACGTAGTAATAATTTTTTTAAATTTTTGTTAATAAATAATAATTGTTCAGCAATGCAGTAAAACATTTTATAATTGTAATTTTCAATTGACAATTATTTTTATACATATCAATTTATTACTATATAGCCTACGCCGGTTTGCTTGGCAGTGCGAATAACGATAACGATAATACAAACGCCCAAAAAAAAAAAAAAAAAGATGAATTAGTAAAAAATTTGAATCTTTTAGATTAGGCAATATAAAATCTAACACGTGTAAAAGAAGAAAAAAGAAAAAAAGAGAAAGTGCTTACGTACGTACGTACGTACTAATATTGCTTTGGGGCATTGGCGTACTAATTGCAAATAATTTAGTATCAAAAAAAAAAAAGTTACTAAATTCTACCTTCACAAATATACGTAGTTTATATTAAATTTCCTTATTATAATTGTATAACCTGTTCGTAATGGTAGTGTTTGTAGTACTTATATGTGCGTGTATGTACGTACGTACATACGTACAATAGATGCAGACATATCAGGTATCGGATATTGACGTAATTTAATGTCAATATAAAAATTATTGCAAAACGGTTTATAATGTAAATTGCGGTTTAAGTAGACTATATATAAGCTTATTTTCAATAACCACATGGTATTTGAGTAGATATAGCAAGTACGGTTTTTTCAATTATACTAAAAAAGTGAAAATTTATGTAAACATGTAAGCATACACATGCCTAATTAAACCGAACGTTTAACAACCCCAGCTGTAGCTAAAGATAAACATTTCTGCACTTGTAGTAGTACGGAATTATTTAAGGAGGAGGCTATGTAGAAGTGGTCTAAACGGTACTATTGCTAAAAACAGTTAGAATCAAGAGTAAACTCATTAAACGATGATCACCAATGTAAGATCGCGGAGACATTAAACGTTAAGTAGAATTAAGATTATGATTTTATTAGTTAATCCTCACGTGCTATATGTTACCAATCATAAGCTTAGAATAATTAACAAGTAAATATATCGATATGTATTTTTATGATACGTAGTTATAATCGATGATATAGAATTTGGATATATTTGGTTAAAAATTAATTAATATATTAATAGTTAGGCGGTTATATATATTAGGCGAAAGACCAAGAAGATTGAATAGATTATTTGCAGAACAATATCTAAAATACTCGCCAACACAAAAAACAATTCACCTGCATTATCATTATATTATTATTATTTTATTATAATATTATTATAATATATAATTATAACGATAATAATTATTATAGTTATATAGTTATTATATAGTTATTATAAATTAAACTACGTATGAAATTAATATGTATTAAGTCAGTGTATGAAGTTCAGACACTGACATCTAAAAATAGAATTTCTGTAAACAGTGATGAATAGTCGATCCGACCATTACTAAATCAACTAATGTGTATATGTATTACACCGGAACGACATTTGATACTGCTTCATGTTTAATGACGCCAAACAGGCTTACCTCCTGTCTTTCTGATTATCTTTCGTAACGATTTAGATTCCAAGTAAACTTTGTAAATGTACTTATGTATGTAACTGCATTACATATAACATTTCACACGCCAATCTATTCTATAAGGCATATCGCGAATTCATCAGTGGCAGAAATTTGGCTAACTCTATTAACTATATTTAATATGCACATAAGAAACACTTGATAATTAGATGCAGGAACATGTTCTGTTTAATTTAATGAGTTTGAATCGAGAAGTTCGAGCGTAAAATCGATCTAATCATGAAAGATGAGATAAAAAAGAATTTGATATCACATGGAGGTCTATATTCCTTTTAGGTCTAGCGCAGGGGACAGTGAAAAATATTGATTTATGTTGATTAGCAATTTTTAATGCAGTGTAACAATACCACTTCGGGCAAATTTAAATGCATAATTTGGGCCGGACAGCACAAATTTGGCACATAGTCATCACATAGTCATGTGAAACAATGCAAGTCGACTGGATCTTAGGTGTGATGTATAATCATGTATCACTAATGACTCGAAACCTATTAGGTGAATTATTTCAGTGTCCAATTAGTATTGAGTATGTATATGTATAATATGCAAATCCCTTAGTCTGATACATTATGTAGTGTTGTTATTATTTAATTTGGCATGAAATAGGAAAGTTCGACCTTCCAAGAGGCTTTTAAAGAATCTTCTCAATTGTTCATACATGATTGTTGGGTTCGCCATCAGACATATACATTCTTTGCCTTGTAATTAAAACTTTTATGGGTAAGTGTAAATATTCAATATTTGTATTAATTAAACTATATTCCCCTAGTTAATTTATGTCTAACTTGTTACACAACCATTTTACCCGAGATTTCACGCCCAATATCACCCGAAAATCTTAATGATGGCGGGAAATTTTACAAATAAAAAAATGTTTAAATAGGATCTACACAAATCGGATGTGTCACTACTAACCTGATTAACCGACTTGTTTAACTTATTTTACTGTATTAAGGTTAAATAATCGGGATTCCTATTTTGTTTTTCGTACGTCTCTGATGGATCGCTGCACCTGCATATTGATAAAATTATTACTTTTTTTCATCCTGTACGCAAATAGTGGGTTAAGTGTTTCAGTCAATTATTATAATCTCAATACTCTTATGGAAATTATTATCATTTCCTTATATAAATATTATTATTAAACTCTTAAGACTATCTAGTCTATATCTCTATTTACTCATTGATTATTAATGTTTCTGTGTCTTTTCGAGTGGCTATGTTTATTTATCTGTTTAATTTATCTGTTAACCGAATTTCATTGAAAAACATATTAAATTGTAAAACAAAAAAATTATACCGATTATGTTTTTTTTTTTTTAATCTGCTTGGAATTTGAAAATCTTACGCGTCACATCGTAACATTTTTCTGAATCTTATGAATCAACTTTTTGTGTGACCCTAACAGATTAGCCGACACTTCAGCCATCATCTTTTCTATGTAAATTATGTTACTCTGCTTACTTCACGCATGGGAAAATATCTTATCAATAGATAAAGATTTATAGTATTTTTCCTATTTCAATCAATATAAAAAAAAAAAAAAAACAAACCTCCGTCAATTATAAAAGGATTTTGTTTAAAGAAATATTCCTCTTTCGAACGAGATTTTTTGTTTTTCGGAAAACGAACTATTTAATTTGCATATTGTATATTTTTATTGCACTAACGTTTTCTTTTTTATGAGAATTCATCTAGCATTTATCAACCTGTAAATAACACGAAATGTCTCAACCGTTCCCCCCTAGAGGTGACGACTTTTACATCAAGTCTGCTACCTCGCCTTCGGGCACTTCCACGTCTTCCTCTTCGCAAAATTTTGTTGTTGATGTTGAACGTGGGTTTTTCATGACCTGGGGTGCAATTAAAGAAGGATCGAAAGTTTTGGTTGCTCAACAAAAAAGTAGTACTGAACATGATGGCTGTCAACTTTGGCATTATGACGACGGTTGGTTGATTAATAAACAAACAACCTTATGTCTGGAAGCTGAACATGGTAGGTTTACCTTCACAGATTAAAAAAAATCATCTTTTTAAACCAATTCTTTGTAAATTCGCAAAAAAAAAAAAAAACATATATAATAAAATAAAAAATAAAATGTAATGATGCCGAAAAACTCAAATTGCGAGCACGTGCATCATACATAGCAAAGATGATCAATGAACATCTACACTGGAAATTTCCTTATCGAGAATTTCGGTAAATCTAACGGGAAATTTTATTAATCCGAACATTCTTTATGATATATTTTTTTTAATAGTGAAAGCTGGACAACGCCTCAGTCTTTTTCATAGGAAAAGTTCAAGCCAAGCTAATAGCCAAAAGTGGATCCTTACCAAAGAAGGGCGTATTGCATTACAAAGTAATCCAAAATTCGTTCTTGAAGTTAAAGAAAGCAATAAACATGTCATACTAGTTGATAGTACAGCGAAAAACTTCAAAAATTCACTGGCTTCTCAATTTATTATTTTGCCTCTCCATCCTGTGAAGAAATGTAATTTTTATACTTAATACTTGTTATAAAAGCTTTATCTTTATGTTTCGTTTTTTTTTTTTAAAAAAAATTTTTCAATGCTTTATTAGATGGTGCCGCAATTGGTGTGATTAGATTAGAATTGGTCGAAGCTAAAGGCCTAAAAGGTGTCGATTCTTTCCTCGCCGGTGGTAAATATATTTTTCCTATCCAAAAAAAATCTAAAATTATTATGTCAACATTATTGATCTCATTCAAATTAAATCATCAATCAATTAATTAAATCAATTAACTAGGCAAATCTGACCCTTACGTTCGAGTATTTTGTGCGGGTAATAATAAGGACATTATTGCTCAAACAAAGGTCATTGACAACGACCTGAATCCAGTGTGGAACGAAGTTCACTATCTTCCTGTTAAAGGGCTTAATGAAAAGTTCAAGTTGGAAGTGATGGATTTTAACACTTTTATAAAAGATAAACCACTTGGTGATTGTCATCTTGAAGTTAATCGTGAACTTGCCAAAGAAGCTTCTAACGGTGTTTATGAAGGCACAAATGGTATCGACGTGTAAGTATAATTTTTTATTAATTAAAAAAAAACTTTAATGTTTAAATCATTATATTAAATCATTATATACTAAATCATTATACTTTTAGCTGGATAAACTTAACTACACAAGGAAAGATTCATTACAAAGCTAAATTCTTCCCCTTGGAACCTCTTCCAAATCCTAGTCCTGATTTCCTTGCCAATCTTAAGGAGAAACCTTTTGATCGTTCAACTTTTTACGTCCTTGTCACCTTACAAGCTCCAAATGGTGGTTTCCCTCCTTCTGATAAATTAGCCAATCTATTCGGTTTTGAATCTCAGGATCAACTTTTAGAATTGTATAAACGTCAATGCCGTGAAGATCGTATTTTAAAGAATGATCCTACCGTGTGGACCACTAGTATGATCTTATGGTTCTTACGGTTCTTATTAAAGGACTATAGAAGTGAATGGGGTGGTGTTTATGAACGTGCTGAACAGTACATTAGCAAAGCAATTAACGATTTAGAAATCGAAGAGACTGTGGTTGCTACTGGCAGAAAAGCTGTCCGTGAAAGATTTGATATTAAAATTGATCATGGTTCGTACTATTTTTTTTTTATCTTTTGTCTATTAATTATTATTAAATAATTTATATCATTATTATTATTATTTACTAATTATTATTCTATTAAATTATACTAATTATTATTCTATTAAATTATTTATTTAACTTAAAAATAGATCCTAAAACTAAACGAATTACTCGTGAAACTATCTCAATTACACATATTAAACGACTTCTTAAATGTCAGCAGCAAAGTACTGGTGCATATATAGTTGGTGATGATCTTGCAAAATCCCTCGGTTATGAAAACATGGATAAACTTCGTATAGCATTCACTGAATATAAAAATAGTCACTCCAAATCTCAAAAAATCTCTCAAGTTAGTCTCCAAACCTGGATGACAATGCTTATGCTTTATTTTTATCGTTACGTTGCCATTGATCAAAAGAGAGAATGGTTCTCAACATACGAAAAATCTTATAGATGGATATGGGCTCAATTAAAGGGTAACGAATCCCTTGAGCAAGAATGTTTTCAAATTGTTAAATCTTTTGTCAAGGAGTCCCATGGTGTAAAGGATGATGTTTTGGAATTGGATCGTGCTTTCGAAGATGAAATTTCTGAAATGACAACCTCTATTAAATTTCCACAAAAAAGCCGAGGAATTGGTAATAAAAAATTTTCTTTTTTCCTCTTTTATTTTTTTTTAATTTATGTCAGTAATACTTAATTTTTTTTATTTTATAAAGTTATAAAACCTCATGGTATCGCGCGTATCGAAATTATTTGCGCTAAAAATCTTAAGCAGGCCGATTCATGGTTTGGTGGTAGCGCTTCCGATCCATATGTTAGAATATCAAACATTGTCACTAGTTGGGTGTATGGTGATTCACGTGTCATATACAACAACTGCAATCCCGTTTGGGAACAAGTGTTTTATATTCCCGTTTATGATGTAAATGAAAAATTCAATTTACAAGTTTACGACTATAATGCTTTCTTTAAAGATACACTTTTGGGATTCTATATTCTTGATCTCAAATCTATCATTAAAGAGCTTCCTAATGGTTCTTTCGAAGGAAAGCAAT